GGGCGCAGGGCGGCCGCCTGCCCAGGACCGGCAGGTACGCGGCCCTGCGGCGCTGCAGCACGAGCGGGCTCCCAGACTACCGCGCCCCGCCGTCGCCGGAGCCGCCACCCTCCCCGAGGGTCCCAGACCTGGGCTCTACCCATCCGGACTCGGCCGCTTCCCCCTCGCCTCCCCTGCGCCTGGAGGAATCGCCCTGCGCCAGCAGGCGGGACTCGCAGAGCTCGCAGTCCGACGATGCGTCCAGCAGCAGCAATAAGGGCTACACCCCGCTGCAGGAGGCCGGCACCTCCCTGGAGTCGGTGGTGGACTCAGTGGCCGGTAATAGGCAAGACTGCTTGGCCGCCTCCGAGATGGGGGCCGAGGGTCCCAGCCAAGAGCCACCCGAGGCCGAACCACCCCAGCCGGTGCAGAGGCAGTTTACAAACAAGGAGAAACTTTTCATGATTTCCCGGTCTCGTGCCGCAGGGGTAGAAGCAGAAGAGGAGGACGAGGAGAGCACTGGCGACTAGGGAGATGGTAGCCAGAGGGAGGGAGAGCGAGGGCTGGGAGAATCGCCCAATTCAATCACTGCTTTAGCAGCCCCTGAACTCTCTCGCGGACTGATCCGAGGAAGTCATTTCATATCCAAAGAGCTGCAGAATGTTATCCTTGAGTTGTGTTTGCAAGATTCCTGTAGATAACTCCAAGCAAACGTTTTTTTTTTCCTTTTTTAAAGCAATCTAGTCTTTTTATGTCCGATGGTGATTGTATGGTCCATGAAAACCAAATGTATTAACAAGGTCAGCAATCTAGTTAGATAAAAATCTTAATTTTCCTAGGATCAAAATAATATATTTTTGACAGTAACTGTGCACTTACTTTACCGGAATCTTTTTTGGAGATACCTAAATTTCCTTACCCCTATATTCTGCCTGTAGTTTCCTCTGTAGCTGCTTGTGAATGACAAGCTTTTATTCTCCCTCCCTTTGCGGAGCGTAGAAGTCCAGTTCTCTCTGAATTGATCTCTCTAAATGAAGTCAAAGCCAAACGCATGAGTCATTGCGGGAAGAGTGCGCCCCTTGCCCTGCCGCACTCTGCTCATGCACTCACTGTCCAAGGGGCTCTTTACTTTTTAAAAGGGTATTTGCATTTTACTACTAGGGTCTGGTGTCCAGACTGGTCGGCACTAGGAGCTAGCTGGATTGTTACATCCCCGAGCTCATCACATGAACCACACCATGCTTTCCTGAGTATTATCACACCTGTACTGAAAATAGCGTTAATATTTAAAATTCTTTTAATAAAAGAAGTTTCCAAACAATTAAACATAACTTTGCTTCATTTTGCCTGGGAGCTAACATGTCTAAAGCATCGTAAACGTTTAACAGTCTATCTGGTAAATCTAAAATATTTTGCTGTGGCATTACTGTTATGACTGCAGTTATCTTCTCCCAGAATATGAGTACATCAATTTCCAATATATTTTTAACTTAAAAGCATAGAGGAAGTAGTACTGCACATTTGGGAGTTTCTTGTTCAAGTAGAAGGCTGTTTGAAATAGCACATTTCTATAATATTTCTAGTCAACCTCAAAACATTGACTTATGGAGCATGAGGCCCAATATTCTTTCCTCAAATTCTTGGGTTTCACCCTCTGATTTTGATCTAAATTTATGGTCTTAAATCCATAGGCAAAAAGGTGGTGTTTCAGTACTTAGGCAGATTGTTTATACTTGATGCTTTTAAAAGTCAATCTGTTGATTTGTAAGAACAGGCAACAAAAAATTAACTTAAATCCTGGTATCTCTCCTTTCCGTATGCCCTGAGAATCTTGGGAACTGTGTTGCCCTCTTTTGGCCATTTGGATGCAAGTCCAGGAAGACAGACTGATTTGGCAGGATGTTGGAGAAGGAATTCTGAAGGGAAACCAGTGAAAAATGCAGTCGTAGTGGAGCAGCTGGTCCTACAGACTACAGATCCAGAACTAAGAGTAGACCCCAGCTCTGGGTGTTTGCTAGCGGTGAAGGCCTGAGTCTGTCACCAATGCGGGGTTCCAGCCATCTGATCTATGAAATGAAAAGATCAAAGCACGCCTCGAAGACAGCAAGGGCACTAGAACAGGGGCGGATGGAAGGGGTCAGATGTGCAGAGCCCAGGTCAGTGCTGAGCAGAGGCTGTGCTCTGCAAGAGGTGGCTGCGATCACGATGATTACCATGGCGCCGTGCTTGCTGTGGAAGAATTGGCCTTCCCTGGACTCCATTTGGCTGAAATGTGGAATATCCGCTCATTATCTGGTTAACCTTAGATAAATCACTTAATCCTTCTGGGCCTCTGGTGCATGATGTAATCTCTGTGATCTCCTTCAGCTCTGAAAGCTTTACTGAAGTTCAGGGTACTGGTTTTAGCCTGTAGACAATCAATCATATCCTATTTGCACACAGTTTAGTGAAGAGTGAATATACCTCATCAATTTCCATGAGTGTACCATGCTGTATTAAATTTTTTAAAGGCTTAATTTTTTTTTCTTCCCAGATTGGATCTGCATTAAGCTAATAACTCATTTTACAGCTCTCACTTAATTTGTTGAGCTCTTCTATGGAGCAGAAGTAGGTTTATACTAACAAGACTGACAAAAAGGACCTCCAGGTAGTATTAAATTTCAACAGTCTCAAGTGCATTTTCAGACTTCCAAGGAGCAACAATAACCCCACAACAACAGAAGTCAAATTTCCCTGTGTTTTCCCCTCCATTGTCCTGCATAGCAGGTAATTTATACACTGAGAGAATATGTTATGTGAAAGGAAAACTGGGTCCTGGTGTGGCACAATGCTGCTTCCACTCCTCAGAAAATGCACTGGAATGACACTGGCAAATAACCGGGCCGCTGTCTCTTCCCTTAACTAAAGAGAGGTGGTCAGAATAGTATCTCACAAACTTTCAAAAATTCAGTCTAAACAACGGTCTAATATTTAATGATACTGACTGCCTAATGCTATGAATCAGATTAAATACATAAATTCTTCTGGCTCTTGCTGATCTCATCCATAGGCTCCCAAAACTGAATAACTGCAGCAAACTTAGTTTACCATCAAGTTATAGCTATCTTAGTCCCTGAGCAGTTTAACCAGATTTTCTCTCTTTTTTTTTTTTTTGCCCCAAAGATAAAAAAGGTAAACTCAGTTTTGCAAGTCTTTTTAGAAGTCTGGGATTTCCTTACACTTCAGGAAGAATCTTCCACAGTTCTGACTATAGGAACTCACAGTCTTAGCTTTCACAGGAGCAGAGATTTATGCAATAATAATGTTAAGTTTTACTCACTGTTTATTGTGGGCCATGCGCTGTTCTACCAGGTTTACATGCATTACTTGTTTCTCAGTACTTCTATTGAAGGAAGTTCATTATTGTTCCCATTCTATGAAAAAGACACTGAAGTCAGAGAGATGAAACAGTTACCTAGGATGACTCTGCTGGTAAATGACAGAGATAGGATTTTCAGTTTTTGAGGTTATGTGGTCTCCTACTAACAGATGTTGGACACATAATGTTCACATTTCCAGAGATCACTGAAATACCATCTCCTAATCTTCCTGCTAGATCCCTTGTCAGAACCATTCTTAGTGCTGTACAGAGAAATATTAGAATTTGCAGTCAGGTAAAAAGCTGGAGTTTGTACTGTAGTCTTTGGACTGGCATACACAAATTTTCTTTTCTCTAAGTGACTTGGCAGGATTTTTTGTGCCCAGTCAATAGGAACCTTTGAAGCCATGGAATCCCTATTTGTGCTTGTAAAGGAGGTTGCTGAGATTGAGGAAGAGAGAGCAACTTGTTCAGAGGCAAACAGCAGTGGCAGGACTGTTACACTGAAATAATTGCAATAACTGGCAAGAGATTTTTACCCCTGAGCTTCTATCATGTACTAGCTGGGTGGCCATGGGCCATCTACTTAGTCTCTCTCTGTGTCTCAATGTTCCTTCCATGCAACAGGAGTAATGATGGTTCCTAAGCTACAGGGTTGGAATGAAGAGTGAAGGAATTAATGTTTGTGTAACGTGCTTGTCACAGGCATGGCTCAAATGGTGTTATTCAAGTTGCGTCAGTTTTATTTCAAGTAGAATAAACTGCTGTATAGAATTATTTCATATGGCCTTCCTTTTTGTGAACAGAGCAATTTTACCTTTAAAAATATAATCTGTAAGGCAATACCTAAAGTGTGACATTGAGGACTTACACAACACTGGATTTGAGTTCTACATCTATTAAATGGAAATGATAAATAGCACTTGACTCATAGAATTAAGTATTCAAATGAGGGCCAAGTAAGCTAATGTCCACCAAGGACTTGAAAACAATTTCTGGCAGCCAAAATATTCAGTAAATATTTAGCTCTATTATTGAGGTAAATTTAGAGAAGTAATTAGTAGGATAAATTTACCACTCAGTTATGAGGGACAACCACACATGTACTGTACTGAAAAGTCTTAATAACTTTGGTATATCAGGGAAAAAGACCATAGTAGCCAAGGACTTGTGCTGCTGTGAGGTCCCCCTGGAAGAACATGGAACTAGGACTAGATGTGTCCTGTGTGAGTGCATTGTGGTGATGTTGTGTAGCTGTAATGGGGGACCAAAGGGGCTCACCGAACTGGGCCATGGTGACCCCATTTCCATTTAATGAAGCTGGTCATGTGAGAAGGACCAGCAAGCTCTGAGATCCCAGTCCCTGTCAGAATGTCCCAAAGCAAAGACGGGAGATCTATTGAGTTACTTAAGTTCTTTGGGCAAAAGTGTTCTGTAGTCTTCTTGTTCGTCGTTTTGAGTTTCTCAAAGATATACTTTTGAAATTTTATGTTATTTTATTTTTTGGAGCTGGATATCTTAAAAAGAACTCTCTAATGCCATAAGATTAGTACAAACTAAAGATATGATTTGTGTTTTGAAAAGAATAGTATTTTTACCAAGATATACAAATACATTTTAGTCATGTAATTTATAAAGATGATCTTGTGTTAAGGATTGTGAGGTGGACACTTTCTATTCATAACAAATAAAGAATAGGAATAATAATTATGGATTTTGTTTCTGAAAGTCATGGAGTAATTTTTTCATTTTAATTCTGTTGGGGGATGGTTAAATCATTGTGTGAATACAGTGGTACCTCGGTTCACAAACTCAATTCTCTCCAAGATTTTGGTCAGAAACCAAACGGGATGAGGACAGAATCAGATGACTCCATAAGGGCAACATTGAACCTAACCATTGAACTTGATTTGGTTCCCATTCAATTCTGTGCAACCAGAAGCACAGGAAGAATCAAATTCCTGAACCAAGCCACCACTGTATTTGAATGTTTAGATTAAACTTTTAAATGACTAACTCTGAAAATGATTCTAACACTTTTTTTTCCTTTCCAGGGAAATCATCTTTGAGGGCTTTTTTCTTCAAAAAGGAATGAGTTTCTTTAAGTGGAGATGGAATTCTTTTTCTGTTAAGCCACCATAAGGTGGGGAGTCTAGCTTTAGTCAGACGCCGACTTGCTCCTCTCCAAAGACTGTTCTCCTGGCTTTCTGTGGCATCTGTCCACCTATGGTGTTGGGAAAGTGCTGGGCTAGAGTTGAGGCCGCCTGGCTTGAGCCCCAGTAAGAGGGATCAGTCTGGCTTCATCCCATAGCCACGGTCCTTTAGGGATTTTACCATCGGAAATTATTTAACTATATTGCTATTCCACCTCACTTGGGGTCCCGCCCTTCCCCTTCTATGTCGACTAAGATGTGGGCCTGCATGACAACCGGGACCCTTGCTGATGACTACAGCAACATACTGTGGTCAAAAGACTAAACAGCCTTCTGCAGATGAGCCAGAAGTATCAGAAAGCATGCTCCTGCCTCTACTGACCTGTGATTCTGTTTCCACACCTTGACCACCCCTGTGAGGGCAAGAAGGCTGGGTCACCACCCCGGCAAGAAACCAGGGGGCCAGTCTGGAACAGGAAATCCTGGGGGAAGACAAGAACTATAAAGTCAGGCTAGAGTCTCTAGGAGTATTTCCATCTAATAGAAGAGCACTTGGGTACTCTTGTTGATGGACTATTTTGTAAGGAGACTTAAAAGGAAAAATTAACAATAGCTTTTATTCCTTAGAAAATATTCTTTTGGCACATGCATGGCTAGACATTATTTCATATATTTTTCTTTTTAAACCATGGAAAATACACTTAGTTTTAAATTTTTATTAGTACATGTTTGCCCTACATGACGATCACATTCATCGTGGGGAGTTGGTTTGTGTGCATAACGCATTCTAGTTTTCTTCATCTGCTTCAAATTGAACATAACACTACTATTGATGAGAATGCATTGACACTGGTAAATACCAAACATCTAGTAATGTTTAATATTGAAAAGAAACTATTGACAAACTGATAAACAATTGCTTTTGAATTGAGAAACTCAGATAATCCAAAGGTATTGTTTATATGTGTACCACGTTAATTGATGTGAATCAAGCCAAACACCTGTCTTGTCAGTAACCTGTGTTGTCACTTTATGCGTATAAATGCCTGATCAGTCCATGGTGCAGAGCAAGAACCTCAGAGAAGCTATTTTCGTGGTACCAGCAAGCAGCTCGGACCCAGGCGTGGCACTTCTGGTAAATGACACAAATTGTTCCAGAGCCATGCAAGGCGTACTGTGGACCGGCTATCCGGAGTCAGGCAGGCCCTGTGCTAGGTTCACAGGCGGGAGGTTTGAGGAAGCCTGCATTTCTGACCTCAGGAACTTGCAGCACAGCTGCTTTGGAGACATGCACATGAGCAATCGTTAAAATGCGACATAAGTGTGTGAAGAAAGTTGAGTGGCCTTTCAGCTGAGAAAGGGCATGTCAGACAGGCACAGCAAAGGGGGAAGAGTGCAGTGCAGCCCGGAGGGGCGGAATGAGCAACTGCGAAGATGAAACATTGTAACATGCTAGGATTTCTTTTTCTTTACAAAAATTTCAAATTATAATTATTCACTTATATTAAGTGTACAAAACAATGGTTTGCTTTATGATATTTTCATATGTCTAGCACATGCTTTGATGTGTCTACCCTCCCTCTTTCCCCCTGTTACTCCCCTTTTCCCCTCTGCTTGGTTCCCAGTCCCCTTCTTAATAGTTCCCCCTCACTTTTGTTCCCCCATACACCCCTGAGTTCACAAAAGAAAGAAAACGTGCCATACTCGTCTTTCTGAGTCTGGCTTATGGCCCCCCGCTCTGTCTGTTTTCCTGCAAATGTCATGACTTCATTCTTCTTTACGGCTGAATAATACTCCATTAACCCGTGGATGAGCACCTCAGCCAATTCCATAGCTTGGCTACGATGAACAGTGTGCCGAGACACATGGGATGCACAGCTGTCTCTGTAGTGCACTGACTTTGATTCCTTTGCTGGGTTTTCATAGAGCAACTTAGATTTGACTTCTGCCTAGTATCCCTGAAGGAACAGACGAGTGAGGAGTTTATTTTGAAACACCAAAACTATACATCTCTCTATTTATAGCTATAAATAGGCATCCTCTTTATAAGTAGTAGTAGCATATTTGAAATGAAGATGAAAATGACGAGGGCATCAAAGTGCTCTAACTACACATTCCCCCCACATTAGATTTTTCATCATTCCCCCTTTGTAGCTGACTTCTCCTACCAGGATTTTCCAGCTGAGAAGCATCAGTACATAGCACTATCAAAGCCTGTTCTCACTGGGCCTGAGATGTCTTTATGAGTAAGAATGATTTTTATTAAACTATACAGTGTTTACAATTTACCATTTAATTTAAAATTTCAAATTCTGGAAATCATTTCTCCAGTGCATGTGTGAACAGAGAAAACCAGGAGAATCTGTCACCTGGCAACGCAGTTTGTACCGTTCCCCGCAGGGTAGAAAAAACTGCTCATCCACGCAGTGCGGAGGCTGATGGCAACAGAAATTTGGGGGCCGTCTGATGAGGCTCCAGGTCATTTTGCAGACTCCAGATGTGACAATTGGATGTACTTCTACGGATTTCCACATCGACTAGAAACATCACTTATATCCGAACAAAAATAGTTTATCTTCGTTAATAACAAGCATCGTGTTCCTATTCTTCCTCACATACATGTTCACAACAAAAGGAAAAGCTATTTCAGACCAAACGTCCTCTCGCAAGTGAGTGTTCTTTGTGGACCAATACCAAAGGACTACGCCTTTTGATTTCTGAGAGCCGGTCCTTTCGGGATCGTCACCAAGAACAGACTTGGCCAGAATGGTGCAGTATGGATGCAGCTGAGTGCTTTGTTTACCCTCAAGGCTGCAAACAAAAAGATATAGGCCTTTTTTTTTTTTTTTTTTTTTTTTTTACTTTTCTATAAAAATATTCCATTAAAGTAAAAAAATGGTTTTGTAAGAAAAATCATTTGAATCCCCCATGTAACCACTTGATGCTTCAAAATCTTTTGAGTGCATAAACAGTCAAAGGAATATAAAATGTGTTCATTCCTTTTTCCTAATCCACAAGAGTGAGAATTTTACAAAAGCACTTATCATCACATATAAAATTCAATAGATATTATCAAACGGCATTTCATTGTCAAAGCCACTAACACATCTTTCATAGGGATACACTTATTGATAGGAAGTTTAAAGTTTGGGAATACTGGTAGATAAAGAGAGGTAGTTAATATAACATGGTTAATGGTTCCAGGAAGCAAATAGAATCCTTCATAAAGAGCAGGGAAATTCAAAGACCAGTTTAGTGACCTAAATGCTAATCCTTGCGCTTATGTAACCACACAGCTCAACGTGTCTGCAGCCCTACGTATGAGTTGAGTGCTCGCTTATTTAATTGTACAATTTCCTCCATTTGTACCTCTAATTTCATTTGAGCTTCATGCCTGAGCACAGTTCCTGATTTATGAATTTGTTAGAAGAAAAGGAATGTATTTATAATGGTAATAAGAATAACAGACTTATAAGAAAGCGAAAAGTAATTTGAATATACTGCTAATAATATAGTATTATTGTTCTCTCCCTAATTTATAAATATCTTCTCATGCAGAGGATAAATTGGCTGATATCTTCTCAAAACATGTGCTGCTGAAAGTTCAAACACAATTAAAGTGCA